ATTTATTTATTTATTTTAACCATGCTAAACTTTATATTTATTTAAAAAAAAAATTTCACTAAATAAAAATTTTTTTTTTTTTTTTTTTTTTTATCTCTTTGTGCAATATGTATGTGTCTGTCCTTTTAATAGATATAAATATTTCTAAATGTATATATGTACACGATGATTGTACTCTAATTATTATTATTATTATCATCGTCATCATCATATCGTTTATATGTGTTTGTTTTGAATAAATAAACAGATGAGAAAAGAGAAGAAGAAAAAAAAAAAAGAAAAGAAATTTATCTCATCAAAACATAAATGATGAAATGTCAATAGGACGACTATGTGAAAAACGTTTTGTTTTTTTTTGATTTTTTTTTTTTTCTCTTTTTATTACTTTATTATATGGATGGGTGTAGATCTTTTTCTTTTTTCTTTTCTTCATTTTTATTGCACGCTTAAGACACATATCAACATCATTATCATCAAAGTTGTCGAGTTGCGAGCAAGCGAGAGTGATGACATTTTGATAAAAAACTATTAATTTGTTACAAATATGTCAAATATATCATTTGTTGCACAAGACATAGTTGTTGTTCTTTTTATTTGTGTTTTCATGTTATTATAGAGAGAGAGAGAGAGAGAGAGAGAGAGAGAGAGAGAGAGAGAGAGATAAAAAGATAGTCCAAGGTTATGCTAGATGTAGTACTTTTATACGACTAAAATTAAGATTCTTTAGAATTTTTATTCGGTGATTATATTGTTATCATCAATTTTAACTTTGAATATGACTATAATTAAAATGATAAAATCATTGCATGTTATCATTATTAATGATTAAACAGTTTATTTACTGGCTCTTTAAATCGATGGATGTCGACTATTTTTGTTGTTACTATAATTGAAAAATTGTTAATATATATATATAGTTTACAAGAACACTTATTTCTATTTCATAAGAGTTTAAATAAACAGGTTACAGTCAACAGAAGTGACATTATCGAAATTTTTTTACACAAAGTAGAGAAAAACCCTTCAATCGAATATATACACACAACAAATTGTAATATAAAATTTTCTAATTCTCAATAATATCAATGATTTAGAATAGGATAAAACAACAAGTTGATACACACTTAGATCAACCGTATTCATTTTTCTCTTTTTTTTATTGATCAAAATAATATTTTTTTGATTTGAACTCAACTGAGATACAATCCATACTTTTAATCAAATATCTCAACTGAGAAACCAATATTTCTGCAAAAATATTCGTTTCTCAAATGAGATACATGCGTTGAATTGTGCAATTGTACAAAAGTATAGTGTACTAAGGTCTATTATTCAATAGTTATATATACATGTGAAATAATGATACGACATATTTAAAAAGGAAGGATTTTATCCGAAAACAAACTTGTTTTTCACAAAACTCAATGTATGATTCAGACATAAACATCGATAATGATGACATCGAGGGCAATGAATAAAAAATTGTGTTTGTTATTACTTCTCTTTTTCATACATGTGATTCATACTTGATAATAATTTAATACATGATAATATTTGACCATGTAATGTGTCTTCAGATAGTCGATAAGTATACTCTCTCTTTCATAGAAAAGACAAAAATCGTTATCTGTCTACGATATCGTAGGACAGATTCAGTTTTATCCTGTCACATCCGTATAACTTAGTTATAGAAGGACATATCACTTCTGATACATTATATACCGAATTTCATTTCATTTACTATTAAATAATAGATCTTAGTACACTAAACTTTTGTACAATTTAACACATGTGTCAAAATTGTATCTCAATTGAAAAATTGTTTAAGTTATAAAATGTATCACAGTTGAGATACTTGATTAAAATATGGATTGTATTTCAGTTAAGACGTTATTGATTTTCTTTTATATCATTGAAAGTATTGTGAAAACAATTTAAAGTAATGAAATAAATTTTCTACAGATAGTAAAAATCAGTTGCTATATCATCATCATGTTTTATTCTTGACACTTAACACAGTTTGTTCAACTACGTCAATGTGGTTCGTGAATTAATTGTCAAGTAACATTAACCATATTGACATATTTTTAATTTTCCAATATCATAATACAGTACAAGAAGACTATGAATTTTACACTCTATAATCGAAAATCATTTATGATTTTCAATACCATAGAAAATATTTCTAAATGAAGGTTTTTCTCTTATTAAATTCAAAAAAATTAAATTATATTGTTATTTTCAATGTAAAATTTTTTTGTTCATAATTTATATGGTTTATTTGTAGAGAGCAAAAATCTGTTATTTCTCTATCTTGTAAGCATTTTCTTTTTCTTTTTTTTTTTTTTTTGTTTGTTTTTTATATAAATGTATGAATGTATGTTATTTTAATCAAAAACATATGTTAATGTACTTTTCGTTTGTTGAGTCTTCGCCATTGTCATGATCATTGTGTCTGTCTTTAAGTAATCTGTTTCTTGCACCATAAAAAAGAAAAAGAAAAACAATTTCTTCCCTCGCGTGCCATTTTTAGTCTCAATCGAATAGAGTGAGTGTAGTGATCGTCTTTCACATTTTTCTTCTTTTCTATGTATATATATATATATATTTTTTTTTTATTATTTAAAATGCTAATCGTTCTTCAATGAATCTCAATTATTTTGATTAGAATAAGAAAAGAAAGAAAGAAAGACTATTTATATAAACTTTCCTACTGGGTATTTGTTACTCTGTATTTTCTTCTGGTTTTGATCTTTTATGTATACGAATATATATAAATGACAACTCTCTTCAACACATTTGTTAGCCTTTTGTTCAAATAATATAAAAATGATGTAGTGAGATGAGAGAGTCATTTCACAACTAATTAACCATCTCGGTCTCACTTATTTTTCTTTTCTTATATATCTCAACATACTACAGTTATATTTAAAATATATAAATTGTACACACTTGTACACATGTAAATATTGTATACAAAATTTGACCTTATTCAGTCATAGGTCAAAATAAAAAAAATATGAAAGAAATGAAATTGATAAAAAAAAAAAAAAGAAGAAAAATAGAGAGAGATTTTTTTTTCCATCATCAATGTGTATAGTTTATTGTTTTTATTTTTTTTTTTCTCTTTCTTTTTATTCTAATATAATATAATAGACATTAATAGAAAATGATTAAAACATGTTCAGATATCCATTGTTTTTATTCTTTGTATATCAGATAATATTACATACTTATTCATACCCATACACAATGATATGATTATACGTGCAGTTGATGATAGAAATAAAAGAAAAACGAGAAAATCATTTGTCAATGTCAAAGTAAAAAAAATACTTTTTTTATTCGATAAATAATAAGTATAATATCTTTTTAGTCTCTTTATATATTTCACTGTCTATATAAATTTAATCAATTTAGGTAAATAGAGTATAATCTAGTTGTAATCGACACTAATAATCCTCCCGCTGAGGTGTATATATATATATATATACATACCGTTGATTACATATGTTTCTATTTTGAAAGAAATAAAGAGAGAGAGAGAGAGAGAGAGAGAGAGAGAGAAAGAAAAGACAGTCATCAAAGAAATTATCGACAATGTGCCCCTTTTCTATGCCAATTTATGTTCGTGACTCGATTTTTTTTCTTCGTATTTAGATCGTATAAACATTAGTTCAAATCTTTGTAAAACAAAAAAAAAAAGAAGTAAATAGGAACTTCTATTAACGCTATTCTTTAAACTGTCTATCTACAAGTGTTTGATTAAAATTTTTATTTCTTTATATAGAAAATAGTTATCTCTAAGATTAATATTTCTATTTTTTCTAAAATTTAGGATATATCACACTTCATTGATATTCATTTTACTTATTATCACTTTGAAAATTTTATTTTCGTTTTTTTTTTTTCTTTTTTGTTATTCTTCTTCTAATTCTATAATCAGTGTAGAAAAACAAAAGAGACAATAGAAAAATTATCATCTGTACTACTTATGTATGCTGATTTATTTTTTAGTTTTTTTTTTTAAAGAACTGTATATTATTCTCTATTTGACACTTAACATATGCATTAGTTCTTTTCTTTCGTTTTCTTTTTTTTTCCTTCATTTTTTAAGTGAAATAAATAGAGGAAAAATAAAAAAGAAAAGCTTTATTTCTGTTTTTTTGCATAATAATAAAATATAATAATAATTAGAATATATATATTTATGAAGAGAAAGATGTATGTATTTAAAGTACTCTTATTATACGTTTTCCCTGTACGATTATAAAAATGATAAAATAATAAAAATAGTGCCTAGTGAACGGCAACTTTCTTTCCATACTCTTTTCTCTTTCTCACTAAGATAAAAATACATGCACACATTGAGAAAAAGGTAAAAAAAAAAAAAAAAAAAAAGAAAAAAAAAAGTGACAATATGTCATCAAATTATTATTATTAAAGTCTATAGTTTATTCACTCATTCTATATTGTTTGTCTTTTATTTTTAGAATAATAATAATAAAAAACATAAAACGAAGTAAAAATTAATGAAAAAATACTTGTTTGAATTTTTCTATTCTTAAAATTGACAACGCTTTATTATTATTATTATTAGTATTATATAAAAAGACACATCGTTTGCTTTATGACATATTAAAATAACACGATATAACAAAACATTATATTCTATTTATTCTATCTCTAAGAAAAAATAAAAATAAAAATTCATTCTCACATAAATTTTAAACTTAATAATTCAACAACATCAAAAATTATTGACGAAAAAAAGAAGACGAAAAAAAATTTGATTGAGAACAAACCAATGTATTCAGGACGGGCTCCGCAGGTTTGTCTTAAAAATGATCAATTCTTTTGTGTTTTTTTTTGTTTTTTTTTATTTTTATCTATTATTTATTAGTTTAAAATTAACATATGTTTTCTTATTCTGTCTAGGGCCCATCACAAATCGATTTTAGTATAATCGAATTCTGTGATCGAATTAAAAAAGAATTTGGACTACTACAAGCACAATGTCAGAGGTAAGAGAGATGATAAATAATAATCATTCTCTTGTTATTAGATACAATTATTTGTGTTTTTTTTTAGTTTGAAATTTGATTGTGAAAAATTAGCACAAGAAAAATTAGATGTTCATCGCCAATATATAATGGTATTTTTATACTCAAATGTTTTTTTTTAATACTATAAGTGATTTAAACCTTTCTTTTTATCTTTTTTCAAGTATTATGAAATGTCCTACGGTTTGAATGTTGAAATGCATAAACAAGTCAGTAATTGAACATGTTTGAATTTGTCAATTTTTGTATTTTAATCTCATGTTTAGTCGGAAATTGCCAAACGATATTTGGGTATTTGTCATCAAATGTTGCCATGTTTACAATCAGAAGTAATTATTTTGCATTTAATATCATAATTTAGAAGATTATCATTTTAAATATATTGTGTGTTATTTTTTTATTTAAAGCAACAAAATCAAGTGGCTACGGCACTCGAACGCGCAAAATCAGTAACGGTGGCTGAACTCAATGCTATTATTGGGGTAACTTATTGTTATTTTTCTTGTTTTTAACTTTTTTTAATCTTTATTTTATATTTTTAGCAACAGATGCATCAAGGAGCAGGATTTCCTCATGCACATGCACAAGCACATCTCGCAGCTCTTGGAGCTCATCCCGCTAATGCTTATGGTTTACAAACACCTGGAAATAGTTTACCACCAGGATTATTAACATTGAACTCTGTCGCAGGTGGATTAGCAGCTGCACAACACGCATTTCTTAAAGAAGAAAAAGGTAAATGAAAAACTTTATATTGTAAAATTTTAATATTTATCCTTGATTCTATTTATAGATAATAGTGAACGAGAAAAATCAGTAGTTAGTTTTGAGAAAAAGGTATTTTAACTTTATTACTTATTGATAAAATAGTATTTTTGTTTACTAATCTTCTGTTTTTTTTCTAGCGAAATTCGATATCACCTCATCATGTGTCAGAAAAATATCGTGGACACAGTCGATCACCACATGAACATCATGAGTCAAAAAAGATCAAACGTGATGAGGTAACAAAATTGTTTTCAAGCTAAATTACATTCTGTTTTCTAATATTTTATGTATGTATACATTATAGGATAGTGAAGGAGAAAAAAGTGATGGTGATTTAGTTGTTGATGATGCAAATGAAGTAGGTTAAGAATTTTTATTTTATTTGTTCTATTTCTATTAATTGAAATGTTTTTATTTTATTTTTCATAGAATGAGAGACAACCTGTGAATGGTGTAAGATCACCGCATGAAAACGGAGAATCAACTAAAACATCTACATCAAGAAAATTAGATGAAAATAGTCATAGTCCACACAGCGATAATGGATCTGCTAGAAGTACACCATCGGTAAAGGTATTTTATCGTTAAAAAACAGTGAACATGTTGACTTTACAATCGACTTTATTTTGTTCTTATAGGGTAGTGAAAAAAGTGGCTCAATTCCGTGTAGTAAATCGTTGCATTTAAATAATCGTGGAAGTGTAAGACATCCACCAAAATTACCTGGTAAGCTACGGCATTGAGAGATCTAAATAAAAATTTGACAATAACTAAAGATCCCCCAAAAAAATGTTAACTATTGACTAACTTATACATGTTGATTAAATATCTCTGATTCTTTTCTTTAGGTTTTCCCTATGAATTTGTTTCTGATAATTTGACATTCGCTGGCCAATTATTAAACTCGGCCAATGCGTTGACAGCCGCATTTGGACCAGCAGCAGCTGCTCGTGCTTCATCTCTTTCTACATTGAACGATTTATATTCTGCAATGCGTGTACCACCTTCTTCATCATCAAATGCCACAGGAACTGGTAACAATTTCGAGCGTGGTGGTAAAAGTCATTATGCATTTCATACAGATTCGGATCCTAGCCAATTTCAACCATGTAATTTTCCATCTGATGCATTCGACGGTGTAGGTTTACCAAAACGAACACGTACGCTAAACACACTAGTACATGGTGATGTTGTTTGTGCTGTTACAATATCGGAATCAACAAAACACATTTATACGGGTGGCAAAGGATGTGTTAAAGTATGGGATCTAAAAGAAAGTACTACAAATTCATTTGTAAATAAACCCATAGCACAATTTGAATGTTTGGTAAGTTCATAATAATCTAGTTTTGTCAAATATTTTAATTTTATTTATATTTTTCTAATTTATTTAGAATCGTGATAGTTATATTCGATCATGTAAATTATTACCAGATGGACGAACACTTGTTGTTGGTGGAGAAGCACCAACAATTTCCATTTGGGATTTAAACGTTTCTTCTTCAACGCCAAATGGTACAACAACTGGCAGTAATTCTAATTCATCAACATCAAGCACATCATCGTCCACATCACCCGTTGCTAGACTTAAAGGAGAATTATCATCAAAAGCACAAGCTTGTTATGCATTAGCAATTTCACAAGATGGCAAATTATGTTTTAGTTGTTGTTCAGATGGAAATATTATTGTATGGGATATTCAAAATCAATCAATTGTTCGGTAAGTTACTATGTGTTTTTACACTAGAATCTTTTTCCTAAGTTCTATTCAGTATGCTATAGTTATTGACCTCTGTGAATGACTTTATGAAAAATGAACGAAAAACACTATGACAGTGTAAAATAAAAGAATGATAGTGATAGAAATATTTTATTTAGCTATAATAATATTATATTTTCTAGTGAAAACTTTTAAATATAAAACTATTCACTCAATTGATGGTTTTTGTTTAACTTTTCTAGACAATTTCAAGGTCATAGCGACGGAGCTAGTTGCATTGATTTATGTTTTGATGGCACAAAAGTATGGACTGGCGGTTTAGATTCAACTGTACGATGTTGGGATGTACGCGAAGGCCGACAATTACAACAATACGAGTTTGATTCACAAATATTTTCATTAGGTTATTGTCCAACAGGTGATTGGTTAGCAGTTGGTATGGAAAGTAATTTAATTGATATATTAAATGTTTCAAAACCAGATAAATATCGTTTAACATTACATGAAAGTTGTGTATTGTCATTAAAATTTGCACGATCAGGAAAATGGTTTATTTCTACTGGAAAAGATTCACAAATAATTGGATGGAAAACTCCATATGGTGCAAAACTATTTGATGTAAGTTGTTTCACTCTAACTACATCGAATTGGATCTATGTCAATCATTTTTTTTGACTAAATCTTCTGTATACAGTTACTAATTATTTATTTTTATTATTTTAGAACAAAGAAAACTCATCTGTGCTTAGTTGTGATGTATCAAGTGATGATAAATACATTGTTACTGGTAGTGGTGATAAAAAAGCAACATTATATGAAGTTGTTTATGAACGATAAAAATGAATGAATTATTTTTTCTTTAAGTACTTTGAATAACGGTGACTGAACGATGTTTTTCAAATAACCAAAATAATAAATAGAATAAATCAAATATCGATCAATTTTGTCTAGTTGTATCTGTTTGAGTGTGTGCATGTATTTTTTGCCTCATTCTTACCTCACAATGTAGAAAAATGTTCTATTTGACACTTTTTGTTTTGCTTTTGAATTTTCTTTTAAGCATATACAGTGAGTCTTGTTTATTATTTTTTTTTTTCGTCAGATATATATATATATATATTATGTATGCCATCGGCTTTCTCTCTTTATACCCTGAATTTTTTTTTGTGTTTTGATATTTTCTTGACGTTGTTATTATTTCACGTTTTTGCTATCTCTCTATTGTTGTAAATATATAGACGTGTGTGTATTTTGCCATTCTTCATTTCATCATTGTTCTCCCAAACTGTTGATTGAAGTCGAACTGGGTTAGTATAGATCTGATACTTAAGATTTTCTTTATTTGCTCAGGTGGATCCCTCAATTTTATGCTTACTCTAGATGTTTTATTGATCATTTAGACGATATTCATTCTATTGTTTCTCATCTTATTTTGATTTCTAATAATAGAAATTTGTTTTTGTTTTTTATATTTATGTTCCAAGCAAAACAAAAAAATGTTATAACCATGAAATTTTTTCATGTTCCCTTTTTTTTTTTTTTTTTGTTGTTGTTGTTGTAATGTTTCTTTTTGTATGTCAATAATTATTTCCTTCCGATGTGAAATAAAAAAAGAAATTAAGTATATACGAGAAAGTTATTCAGTTTTTACCTGCTTGCATTTGTAGGAAAAGACGTTTTTCTATTTCCAAATTAAAACGGATCGTTGATTTAATTATATCAAAGAAGAACGGAAAATTTTGAATACAACTGATCTTTTTTTGTTTTGTTACCATAGTGATTTTAGGAAATAATTATGCTTGCTATGAAAATAGAAAAATAAAATACTAAAAAAATTTACAAATATTCAGTTGAGTTTCATCTTGTTACTGAAAATATCACCTGATACAACGTCATGAATCATCTTTGATTCTGATATTTGTTTAGATACATTTTTTATCAGCAATTTATGCGTGTTTCCCATGAAAGAACTCTATGGTAGATAATTTGATTGGACATATCTTTAGTTAGATTTTTTTCTCACTAAACCTCTTGTTTATAAAAAGAAGTAGAATAGATATAATTATGTGATTAGATCTCTTTGGTAAAAAATTTGTGAGATGAATAGTTAGCTATAGTTGAGACTCAAATAATTTAAAGTAAATGTCAGAATCTTGACATATACGGTGTATTTCTTTGTTTTAGATTGGTTTAAAAACGAGATATAAGTGTTGATAGAATAATGTCATCTCGTAAAAAAGTACTCTTGAAAGTTATTATTCTTGGTGACAGTGGGTATGTGTTAAAATCGAACTTTTTCTCAATGATTCAGTATTAACTCTTATCTGTTTATATTTAGTGTTGGTAAAACATCACTTATGAACCAGTTTGTAAATCGAAAATTTACAAATCAATATAAAGCAACAATTGGAGCCGATTTTTTAACGAAAGAAGTACAAATTGATGATCGATTGGTTACAATGCAAATATGGGATACTGGTGAGTTATTTAGTCTCTTGTGCAAGTTACTGTTACAAATCGTTGAGTCTTTCTCTAGCTGGACAAGAACGTTTTCAGTCTCTTGGAGTTGCTTTCTATCGTGGGTACGTGTTTATGAAAAGATTTTGTTTATTTCATTTTTTCAACGAGTTTTTTTTCTTAGTGCCGATTGTTGTGTTTTGGTGTACGATGTAACAGTTGCAAATAGTTTCAAAGCATTAGAGAGTTGGCGAGACGAATTTCTTATTCAAGCCGGACCAAGGGATCCAGAAAATTTTCCATTCGTTGTTATTGGTAATAAAATTGATCTCGAAAATCGATTGGTACGTATTTGTTAACTAAAAAGATGCTCGAGTCTTTGTTGATTCGTTTCTTAGCTATTTTACGCTTCTCTCTTATCTTACCGATAAAAATTGAAAGTATGATCATGTATTTCGTTTGATTCATGTTATTTTATGCTATTTTTTAGGTACAAATGCGTAAGGCACAAAATTGGTGCACCGGTACGTTTAATTTCATTTTTCTGAAATATTGATTTAATTCAATTTTTTTAAAATTTTTATCAGACAAAAACAATATTCCGTATTATGAAACTAGCGCCAAAGAAGGTGTGAATGTTGAAAAAGCATTTGAAACCGTAAGTGAACAAGTTCACTAAATAAAGAGAATTTTTTTACTAAAATTTAAAAATTTTAGGTTGCACGTAATGCATTAGCAAGAGAGAAAGAAATTGACACACCCGATTTTCCAATGCCAATACGTATTCCAACCGAAGATAAACCAAAAGACTCATCTGGTTGTCCATGTTAACTAAGTGTGTCATATTGATCAATCAAGAACATTTTTTTTTTTTATTTGTAATTACATTCCTTATTTATTATTTTTTTTTGTAATTTATATCTATACACTTATTCATTTCATATTCATGCGAATTGAACATTTCGAACACATACTGGTGCTATGAAACTCTTAGAGTAAAAACATCAGATGAATGAAGGCAAGCATTTATTTTGTTAGTCATTTTCTTCTGTTCTCTTTGTAGGTGATAAAAATCTGTTTTTTTTATTTTATTTATTTTATATATCGATGATTTGTATATCTGTTATACTCTTGTCTTATAATTTTTTGTGTGTACTTCAAAAATGTTTTCAATTGGTTGTTGTATGTGTGAACGAATTGAATTATCTTGATTATTCATTAAAAAAAAAACAAATATTTTTTGTATGCTTAATGAGATTGATTTGAATGAATTAAAGAGTGTATTCATATTTTTATTCGAGAACGATAAATGGAGTCTTGTTACCGTTTCGATTATTCAATACGAATGATTAGTATCAGTTAAATTCGATATACAATACAAATTTAGTTATAAGTCATAAATAAAAGTTTATTTTGTTAATCTAAAATGTAAATTTAAAAATACAAAACAAATTTATAGATGTTTTCATTCTCATCTATAATAAAATCTTCGTTTATTTGAGAAATTTTAAAATAAAATTATACTCGCAGTTTTAACGAATGTGTATTGATTTGATTTAATGATCACGTTCCTCTATAGGAACACAAATAAAATAATATTCCATTACTGATGTAGATTCATATTAGATATTGATTACCAATACGCGCAGAACCAGCAGCGAATATTTCAAAATTACCATTAATAATCCAAGGATCTTTTTTAGTATAAATTTTGAAATTATTTTTATTGATTTTAATGAAAGTTTTCTATTTTGTAATGTTTACAGTTGTCAAAGTATTCTATTTGTAACAATACAAGAATCACAGTTAATATCTTCAAAGTTAAATCACACTGTAAATAAACGAACGTACTTTTATCAACACGATTCAACGAAGGTAGAAGAAGAAAACAGTTATCACTTATCGAGTGTAATAATAGTCGAATCATTGAAAAAAAGTAAATTAAAGAATATTTCTTAGATTAAATAAACAGTTGTTGTTAATAGTGTCGATGGTAATATTATGATTAACATACTACTACTGTTGTTTTGATTATCGTTGTTGTCTCATCTTTATATGGTTTAAGAGCGCAGGCAACTATAATACAAAGGCAAATCATTACCGGTAAAGAAACGGATACCCAACAGATTATTTTTACTTACTGAATCTTCGTTCTGGATTGCTTTCCCTTTCAATTAAATTACCCATTTTCTCTATAAATTTTATTTTGATAAAACAACAACTAAATAGTTTACATTTGAAGATTTCGTATTCACAATGTCTGCATTGATAACATACAAATCTTATAACAAGTGTATATTTCTATTAATCTAGTCTTTTTAAAAATTTGCTCTTTGCGTGTTACTAATTACTTTTCAGATGTTTCATCGTCTAATTCATATTGATTCTTTTAAGACCCTAAAAATATTTCATTGTCGTATGTTATCGTTGAAATTGCCAGGTCCAATTGTAACACATGATTGGTTAATGTCTAATTTTGACCGGGTAAAAATTATTGATGGAAGCTGGCATTTACCGTCAGAAAATCGAAATGCAAAAGCGTAAGTTTTAACATCCATAAAATGGAAGAATTACAATGGCAACATTTGTTTTTACTTAGTGAATTTGAACAAAAACGAATTAAAGGGTTCGTCATTTGATAACTACACTGATCAGGATAATATGGAGTTTGTTTATTTTTTGATTCAGAGCTAGATTTTTCGATATTGATGAAGTATCTGATCATTCGACTGATTTACCACATATGCTACCATCTGTTGAACAATTTTCATCTTATGCTAGTCAACAAGGTATAAATGAACAGGATTCTATCATTATTTATGACACAAAAGGTTTATTAAGCTCGGCTAGAGTTTGGTTTACATTTCGTGTTTTTGGTATTGATAACGTTGCTGTTCTTAATGGTGGACTACCAATATGGTTAAAATATAATTTACCAACTGAGTCTGGTGTACTGGAACCCAAAACAGCAACAAAATTCTCAGCAAAACCCAAGTGGTTAGTCATTGAATAATGACAGGCTCTTTACTAATAAAATTCATTAGTTTTCAGGTATTTTGTTAAATCAATGAAGCAAATGAGAGAAAATTTGTTAATATCAAAATTTCAAGTAATAGATGCACGATCTACTGGTCGATTTAACGGTTCTGAATTGGAACTTCGTCCTAATTTACCATCGGGTCATATTCCAAATTCATTGTCAATTCCATATAATCAACTCGTATCAAAGTCTAATTCACATCAGATCCCAATGTTAAAAGATGATAAAGCTTTATTATCACTATTCCATTCCCAGGGTGTCAAAATCGGTAATCAATGTTCTATTGTTGCAACGTGCGGCTCTGGTATTAGTGCGTGTGTCTTGGCGTTATCATTAGAATTATTAGGACATAAAGACTGGCAGGTGTACGATGGCAGTTGGACTGAATGGGTAGATGAGAACATTTTAAAAGTTTATTTTAATTATATTATATTTGTATTTCTCTTATTTACAGGCTTCAAACAAAGATAATCCAATTTCGAAAGGTGACAGTTGATCTTGTTTATTTCAATGCTCTAAATAAATATAGAATATGATTACTTAGACAGAGTAATCTATTATACTTTCATGTAAGTGAGTCAGTTTCATCCAAGAATATTGTCGTCAATGTATTATCAGGAAAATACTTTGATCACCTTCCTTCTGTGGCTCTTTTCCTCTTCGTTTTTCTTTAAGATTTCCTTATATATCTGCTAATTATTTTATTTTCGACATGCCGTTGTTAAATGTGTGAACATGGATAGTAGTGGTGGACCTAGCAAAGAACTTTCATAACCAAGGCCAAAGACTTTTTGTATTCCTCCCAGTACTCTATCCAAGCGCCTCTGATGGATAAGTATGGCATTCTCTCTCTCTATATATGAATCATTTTCTCACATCGGTTATTACTCATAATATCTTGATGCTGATGGAGTCAGGACATTTAATACGAGATGTAATGTATTCGAAATGGTTATCAAATTATCGAACTGGCTAATTTGTATTCGAATACACAAACAGGCGGTGAATGATTTTAAAATTACAATAACGTTTTTGATTTAGCATTAAATTCATGATGCTTCTGTGTCTGAGTGTTATATTCTCTGAATGTCACTGTTTAAAAAAGAATTACTAATATGTACGAATTATTCAGTACTACATTTATTATTTGATTATCAACAACTAAGTTAATACTAAAGTACTGATATATAGGGTGGATCAGAAGCTGATCTCCCACTCTGCCTTTTTTTTCTATAAATCCTCTTTTTTGGGAAAAATCCTCACAGAGGGTTTATATTTTTCCTCTTTTTTCACGAATACTATTGACGAACAAATTCGTTATTGCTGGTTCATGTCATCAAGTATTTTTACTCTTGACTTCCACCAGTCGTTAAGCTCGGGTTCTTCAATCAAGTGAGACTAGAAACTCTCCCAGCACCCTCGATTAAACAAAGTGCCAATCCAATATATGTAGTATATTTAAAAATAATGGTAAAAATACATATGCAGGGATAACATGAAGTAAGGAGATCACTAACTGATCCGACCACTTACTAACTCTGTATTCTATATGCACTCGAACTGACTATATCTGAATGTATGCTTTCATATATCCAAAAGAGCAAAGATATGTAATTTAAAGGAAAAATTAGACAGAATAGCTAAAGATGATGCATGCAAGAACCCTTTCGGGACGGGCGTGGTATATATACTACCTGGAGTATTTCTCAAAATTTGAGGATGATATATGTTTCAAATCAATCAAAAGTAAGTGGACATAGTCTGTTGAGTACTTTTCCTATGTTGGTATAGTAAATTATCAGTATTTCTAAAGTGTCGTAAACATCCACAGTGTATTAAGTAGTTTATAACATTACATAGTGAAGTACTCACTTTATCGTACATTCTTTATTTAGATTTTTCTAACACATTCTAATACGTCTAGATTGATATATAAGAGTTTTGCATTCTCTTATCCATCGCCACTTGCCTCAAAAACAGCTGCCCAAAGGAAGTGTCATGTATGCTCTCATACAATACAACGTGAAAAATCAATCAAATACACAAGATATCAGTGTGAAGGATGTAATGTTGGATTATGTATAACCAATTGTTTTCAAGCTTATCATACTTTAAAATACTTTTGATAATGATTTTTCACTGAATAAACATCTGTTTTAACTCTAATAATAGGCTTAATTTTTTCAAAAAAAAACCGTCCCGAAAGGGTTAATATAGAATAATAGTGATCACAACTAGACGAAAAAAAATAGTAGTAAAAAATGAACGAAATTTCTGTTGTTTTCTCATTTTGCAGTGCGCATATTATGAACGACACAAAATATATGTGAACAATACTGAATTTCATTTTTCGCTGTTTCGATTCACCATTGAACGCAGAGCATAGATATGCCACCGTTATATGCTTCTACACTTGCGAGAATATTTATTCGTTAGCATTTTTCGCCCGAAAAAACTGAATTCCTCTTTTCCTCTTTTTTTTAAACTGCGGATTCTCTTTTTTCCTCTTTTTTTTACAAACTGTCGATCGTATACCAGATCAGTAGTCCTGAAGCACTTTTCGATTACATTTTTATCCATGTTGACTTGCGTTTAAAAATTTAATATTTAGCTCAGAAAATAGAGAATTTAATTCTCTAGAAACCTGTCGATTTTGTTTTGAAATTATTCTTGAAATTTTAGCAGAATATTCACAATATTAAAATATTCTAATTTTCTAAAACAGCACAAGTAATGATGCGTAGATAAGTTTAATAAAACAAAAACAATTGTTACGGGTATGTTAATTAAGCGCCATGTACATACAATAAATTTATAAGAAATGAATGATTACAATTCAGTGGTTTGCATTCGTTCATATGATATTCTCTTCTGTTCACACTCATTCAATTGATATAAATCGCGCAGGTCAATTAAATTATAAAATAAATTCAGTTGGTACAATTCTTTATATTGATGTTACAAATCGTTTACCTGTATCACTTCGACTATCAGGTGCTGTTGAATATTGTTGTACATTATCACATTGTTTTGGCGTTCGTGTACTAGGTGGCGATTTTGGAACATTTGAAACAAATGAAAAGAAAAATATCACATTTCTGTGGTCTGGTAGAGAGTTTCAACGTCTAGATGGTTATTGCAATGTGACACTGGTCTATGCACCCGATGGAGTAACAAATCATTTCAGAACTGTTCAGATTACAGTGAATTATATGCTGAATAATGTCCTGTTAATTCAACGAAAACCACGATCTAAAAAGAAGAAAAAACGTAGTATAGATGTCCTGTCATTCATTGGTAGCGATGAACAAGAGACATTAAGTGAAGAAGATCTAGATGATAACAGTCCATTTCAAACGCCTAATAGACAAGATAAGCATTATGTCAAATGTTTACAATCAAATCATCTGCTAAATCGTTATCATAATCGATGTGAAAATCTGAATTATTTAAGTCAGAAATTTTCATATGATTTATTCCATTATAATAAAACTTTAACACAATCAGATTTATTTCAGTCATACGATCATCGACAAATAAAAACTCTCTGTATCAATGGAAAACAAGAAAATCAACAATGTATCTGCAATACGGGTTATGTATCTGTGCCAATTAATCAAAAATTGTATCGTCCACTGAATTATATTCATAAATTATGTACACATCGAATAACTCCCGTTAAACATATGAATTTACATTTAATGATAATTATTGCTTGTTTTCTATTTGGTCTATATTTGGCCATTCTAATTATATCAGGGCTTCTAGTTGGAACATATTATATGCAAATAGAGCGAAAGCATACGACGGCAGTAATAAATCAAAATCAAAATACAGAAGAGGAAGATGAGCAGAATTCAGAGATGGCCACAAGTTCGTCGTCAAGCGTAAACAATTTGAGTCCAAATGATAACTGTACAATGTCTAAATCCATCAGTTATGTGCAACCATTTGTCATATTAGAATTACCGATCGATTTACAAAAAAATGTCGATGAACAAATTGTTACAAAATAATAATTACTCATACTACATCATATTTTCTTTGGATATTTCTATTCCGATCCGTTTACTAAATAATTACTCAAACTTAAAAGTCATAAACATTTCAACCGGTCAACTATAGAAAAATTCGCGTGGAATATTGTTTCCATGGCGTTTTACAGTACTATATAATGTAATAAAACCTTATCTTATATGAAAATGACACGATATTAGTGCTTATTCAAATGGGTGCAGTGGACAAATCCACTCAAATTTTCGAGCGGTATGCATCCATTTAACTAACGCTAAAAATTTCAGAATCCCAGTTTTGAACCAATTTAAAAATTAAAAGGTTTGACTTTTATATGATATATATTAGTATTCACAGAGAACGATATGAAAAACACTGAAAGACTTTTCACACATGTTTCTTTCATGGTTTTATTAGAGCTTTGTAGTAATTTAACATATAATTAGTGTGCGGACTGACGGATTGTTGTTAAATTAAAAAATGCAATCATTAGCGGATGCATATATGTTAGGTAAAATGAAATTCATTGGGTGAATCTATTAAATTAAATAAAGTTTTTAATTAGAAAATTTGTGGCGTTTTTGTTTTTTTCTGAAAAGTAGTAGTTTTCAAAATACATTCAGAATACAAACATTTTGCACTTCACAGTAGTGCCGTCATTTCGACAAAATTGATTTATCTCGAAAACTACTACTTTCCAGAAAAAAGCAAAAACGTCAAACTTTATTTAATTTAGTAGATTCACTCAATGAATTTCATTCTACCTAATACATATTCAAAGTACATAATCTGTTATAGAAGGTATGAGTCATTTAGCGTCAGTCCACATACCAAATCACCCATATTGATTAGACTCATATTTTTTAGTGACAATGTGAAAGATTTAGTTTTTCGATTGTATGAAGACTACAGTCCACACACTAGCTTATAAGCTAGTGTCAAACATGTAAAATAACTTGACGATATTTCGATTCGCATGTAAAATAATCCTTCATATTCCAGTGGCGCGACAAGGATTTTTAGACTTTTGGACCGCCCTTTATTGATTTAAGAATTATTGATTTAAGAATTCATTTATTGATGAGATGTTTTAGGTGAATCGAATGCTTTGTTCGTTTTTCTCTGCTATCACATGCAAAAGTAAGCACATACTGCCTTAGTATGAATTGTATCTCGCATTTAAGCTATCTCGTTTTCAGAACAAATTTTAATAGAAATTTTACAACATATGCGGCTGTAACATCCCTCACTTTTTGAACATAATTAAAAGATTATTAAAAATTGTAAATTGCTAAAAATAGAAATTTCAGAGAAGAAGCTAGTACATCAGTAGATAATATAAGGAAAGAGAAGTTCTAAAAGTATAGTTTTATGAATAACAAGTTTAGTGTATGGTGTACGAATATCTGCAGCGGCACGAAATAATTTTCCTCTCAAAGAAATATGACTAGTTTATGATACTGAGTTCGGTAAAACGTTTACCGTAAAACAAAGTCCCTATGGAGTTAGATGTTGGACTTGTATACAAAGCGGCAGGACTGTCTTAAAGCGTTCGGATGTGTAGAGACGACCGATTTTGAGGGGGGCGCCACGGAAAATGTACAGAACGCAAGAGAAATTTCAACTCTGCTGGAGAAAATCGAAAATTTTTCAGAATTGGGAGGCACACCACACTCGGCGCTGGCGGGACACCCCTGCAAAACGGCGTGCCCGCTTTGTGCAAAATTCTATACTGGGAAGATGTGCGAACGTTTTTGTACAAGAACTATCGAATTCAAAAGCAACGCTCTTGTCTATTTTCTTGGCGTTTCTTGGCATTGTTTATGTGTTTTATTGATATTACAAAAGCATATGATTCTGTCAATCGAGAATTACTGTGGAAAGTCTGTTTAAAGTATGGTATGTCGGAGAAAATTGTCAACCTTTTGAAAATGCTGTATAGGAACTCAAGGGCAAAGGTCAGGATTGAAGGTGAACTTTCTGATAGTTTTTTAATTGAAACGGGAGTATTGCAAGGTGGAATTCCATCTCCTATCCTATTCAATATCCTATTTGACTTTATTATCAGAAAAGTAGTAGAAGAAGCCGGTGTGGATGGTGTTCAGTTTTCGTATGGAAGTAATGATTTTTATCATGGTGCACGTGAAAATTATGAGAATTTCAATATTTTGGCTTTACTCTATGCTGATGATCTAGTGGCAATGTGTGAAACAGCTGACGATCTTGAGACTTTCATACGAACTTTTGAAAAAGTTACTCAAGAATTTGGACTGACAATGAGCGTCAAGAAAACATGT